TCCACGAAAGCTTATGCTCTAATAAATTTGTTAGTCTCTAAGGTGCCACAAGTACTCCTGTTCTTCTTTTTGTCAGTAATTAGTTATTTACGTAAAAGTGGCCAGGAATTATTTCTACAGCTCCAGACAGTGGTGCTGTTTCAGTATGAAATTGACTAGAAATGGGTGTTGAGCATCTTAAACACACTGAAACAACAAACAAAATATTGTGATATAATCATTTATTTTTTGGAAAAATTCCAAAAACAAGAAGATGAAAACCAGGAGGGAGCAGTGATTATAAAAGAGGAGGCTTCTGTTTATACATAAATGCCTTGTACTAAATGTGAAAGAAATTGCATGGGGAAAATTACCAAAAATCTCATTAAAGTTTAATGTAAAATATATTTTTTTAACTTTGCCAGAGTTTCTGTATAAAAACACTGTAATCTTATTTGTTCGTTTTATTTTTAAGGCACTTTAGAAAAACCACTTACAAGAATATATGGAATTCTTAGTGATATCAAAACAGTTTCTCTGAAAATTTGGCTAATTACAGAATTATGGTTCGACTAACAGTGGATCTAGTTGCTAAAAGCATCAATCACAAAAACCGCAAAGAAGAATCTCTGGCACAGTACCTGAGGAAGATAACTCACCTGAACTTATCAGATAAAAATATTGATACAATTGTAAGAACTTTTTCATAAATCATGAAAATACTACTTTTAATTTTTTAACTCAGTTTTATAGCGGGGGTTTTAGGATGTTTTAGTGCTGTTTTTGATTATTTGTTAATTTTTGGGAGGACAATGCTGATCCCTATATTATATTTTAAAACATTATAATTGACCAGCTTTTTTAAAAGGTCTATTTGAAAACACACATTGTAGCATGCATTGCTGAATTTTTAAAAATAGATACTCCTGGAGAGCCTGCATGTACTTGGCAGTACATAAGATTAATTTGGAATGTACACCTTAAAGCTGTGATAGTACCTGTAGTTCTTGCAGATATTCACACACTTCAGTGTTTTATAATTCCCACTGACCAACAAAATTGTTCTTCACCATTGGCCTTATTCTGTTTTCTTACGGCAGGCAAAACTCTCATTGAAGTCAGTTGGGATTTTTACCTGCATGAAAGTGTGGGGGGGGGGGGTGTAACCTATGTATCCAGCACACAGGAAGGATGTATGGGGCACATCAGCTATTTTACCTAATTTTTTTTATTAAAAGAAAAGTATATAAAAGCAATTGCGCTTTGAAGAAGAGAGATGCAATCAGTAGCTTTCTGCCTTTCAAATGTTAAACAATGTTTTGTAGTTTAAGAAAGGTTAAAGTTTAAAATCTCTTTTGTAACATTCCATAGAAGAAGCAAATATATAGTTATTGTTTTAAAAATGAAATTAGTTTGCTATCTTTTAATTTAATTTGAGACATTTGCCACCTTATTAAATTCATGAAAAATGTGAGCTGTAAAGCTTACCCAGTGCACTGATGCTAATTAGGGACCTTTGGGCATTGCTGCAATGCAAATAATACCTAATAAAAGTACTGTAACTAATTAATGACCAAGAGAGGAAGGGGAGAACAGAAACTCTGCAGCTCAGATTTTTCATTATTTTAAAGAGGTAGTAATAGTCTCAAATGCTGCTAAAATACAGCACTATTTTCATTTTTAAATAGCTATTTTTTCTTCTCTTGGGAATCTTATGGAAGAGTTGTTAACTTGTAGCAAATTCTTTGCACTTGCCTATGATTTATTCTCTGCATTTTGGAGGAAGGTTGGGAAGAGGAAGGAGAGAAACAGGATGGGATATAGGTCAAGTGAGGCTAATAAATTTGGACCAGTATGATGGTTGTCCAAAATTGCACAGGTTATACCTTTCATTAGTGAATTAATTTGCTCTTTGGTCTAACCATTTTAAAAATAATGGTACTTAATTTTAAAAGAGTAAACCTGCAAACTGTGAGCTCTATCCTGCTCCTTTTCAACATAAGGATGGGAGTTTTGCCATAGATTTCAATGGGGCCTGGATTAGTTCTGATTTCCCTCAAGATACTGACTAAACTCAAACCAGGGATGGATTTCTTAAAAACAAAGCATTAAACTCGGTTTTGAACTGTAAAGATATTACACCCTGATCCTGTGGCTGGATTCTATGTAGGCAAACACCTGCACCCTCATGGAGCCCCACTGACGTTAAAAGAGCTAAGCCCAGGAGCAGGGGTCTGCCATGAAGATCCAGTTGCAGGAGAACAGGTCTTTAGATACCAACGTGACAGATGCCTTAGGAATACTTTGATATAAATATGCTAGCAGAATTTTATATATTTTTCAGGTTATTTTTAAGAATGTCTTTCGACAAAGGGTCAGATTCTGATGAAATCTTAAAAGAGGAAATATAGTAAAATACATTCAACGTTTTTATACTTAATTGAAAAACTGTTTTCCATTACACCAATGACAAGGTAGCTTTCAGTTTGTTTGAGGCAGCAATCCACTGAACAGATGTTTTCCTGAAATGTACTTGAAGAAGGCAGGGAAGACAATGAGATCATAAACTAAGTCATGTTCACAGGTTGGGGAGAGCCATGAGTCTCAGTTTCAATACAGCAAAGCATTAAAGAGAAAAATCAGTGTTTGCCCCAGGAGACAGTTGCTTAATTATGTTTACTATAAATGGTGAATTAAAGTTAGTGTTTGTCAGTGGTGAAAATCTACAGATAGATCATACAGCAGAACTGAATCTAAGGCAAAAAAAAACAAGCTCCAGAAGTTGATTATAAGGGAGCTGAATATAATCATTTTATTCTTTCTTCCAGGATGACCTCTCTTTGTGCAGAAATCTTAATGTCCTGTATTTGTATGATAACCAAATTAGACAAATCCATAACTTGTGCTTTGCTTCAAATCTAACACACCTGTACCTGCAAAACAATTGCATTTCATGTATAGAGAACCTCACATCACTGAAAAAACTTGAGAAACTGTAAGTGAAAATTGTCTTTTATTTTGAAAAAATAAAAAATGTTATTGTATACTATGTATATATTAATAAGAAATTTAAGAAAAAGTTAATCATTGAAGTCCTGTACCTGTAAGTAAGCTAAATGTTGTCTTTCAAATCCGTGATAAAGTCAGATCTGACAGCTATAAGAAAGTGGTTTGTTTTTTGTTTTTTTTACAGAGGTTGCAGGGAAAGGAATGATAAAAGCTAGGGTGCAGGGGAGAATGTTTGATGAGAATCAGATCTAGGATGTAAAACCAAGCAAGGCCTACGTGCTTGAATATGTACCGCCACCTGGAAGTATTAAGTAGAGCATTTAACCTCTCTGGATGCTAAATGGATGCTGAATTGGGTTGCTCAGACCAACTAAAAGCTGAAGCTTGTGATCTATTTGTTAACATCAACTGATTGTTATTTAGTATCACCCAGAATGTGGTGGAAGGCAGGTATATCAATCCTAGAATGGTGAAGGCTCTTTTTCCTATGTACTGAAACAAGGTTACCTCAGGTTAATTAGAGACACTTGAGTCCAATTAAGTGATGCTGGTGACTTTAAAAAGCCCCTCTTCTGGTGAGAGAGAGGGATGCCAAACAAGCTACAGCAGGGTTAAGGGTATCAGTGAGAAAAAGCTTCTTCTAGGTAGAAGGCTGCCCTTCTCCCTATAGGGCAGGGGTAGTCACTCATTTTTTGTCAAGGTCCAAATTTCTTGGTCAAGGTACAGTCAAGATCAATACTCCAGCGAAAATAACAACAATAATGATAATAAGTAAATAAAAAGATTTTGGGGTCCATTCAAAAGCACTGGAGGTCCAGATTTGGCCCACGGTCCGCCTGTTGACTACCCCTGCTATAAGGGAAACAACTAAGTTTACTTCTGTTTGGGGAAGGGTTGGCAGCCAGATGCCAGCATAATAAGTCAACGCCTTGGAGAAGGACAAGGAAATATATTTCTTTTGTGTTGTGAGTGCTTAAGAGAACTACTTGTGCCTACCTTGAGGCTCATCTTGTAAGCATTGGGGGAAAAAGCCCAAATCATTCAAAACCTCCAAAGTAGGACTGATTTACTTTAGGCCTCTACTGCCAAAGCAGAAACTCGGGCTGATGAGGCAAAGGAGGAGCCTTGCCAGAAATCATAAATACCCTTCATTGGCTATATAACATTTCCATTCAAGTGTTTTGTGACCACATACACTGTGTAGCAATGGATATTATTTGAAATTTATCATTAGACTTACTCTGTTTGAAATACTGTCTTCTTTTCCAGAAGATTTAACAAGAGTATTATTATCTATAGACTAATAGAATTGATAGAATAGACTTGCATCTATTAATCTATAAATAGTACAGTTGGATACAAGTCTGTTTAAATAGGAATTCTTCACTCAGTTGCAATTCCTTAACACATTAATTGCTACAGTTTAATAATGCCTGTAAGGGATTCATTTCTATTTTGAGACTTGAGTGTGAATCTGCTTTGTTTTGTTTTTCTTTTACCCTCAAACTGCGTTAAGTCCCATTTATGTTGTTTTCTGCAGGTATCTGGGGAGCAATTACATCACAGTAGTAGAGGGCTTGGAAACATTAGAAGAACTGAGAGAGCTACATGTTGAAAGCCAGCGGCTTCCTCTCGGAGAAAAGCTCTTGTTTGATCCAAGAACTCTTCATTCCCTGGCAGTAAGCGTATATATGAATTTTCTGACAAGCAGTGACAATAGACCAGAGGTCAGCAACCTTCAGCACGCAGCCTATCAGGGTAATCTGCTGGCGGGACGTGAGACATTTTGTTTACATTGCCCATCCGCAGGCATGGCCCCCCGCAGCTCCCAGTGGCTACGGTTCACCGTTCCCGGCCAATGGGAGCTGCAGGAAGCAGTGTGGGCGGATTACCCTGATGAGCCACGTGCCAAAGGTTGCCAACCCCTGCAATAGACTTATGAAAGAAAGGAAGTGTGGATGGCTCAATATTTTGTACATTGCCCCCTTTTCCTTAGTTATAAGGCCTCCATTCAAGTGGGATCTGTAAAGGATTGATTTTTTTTTCTCTCCATGTAACTTAGAAAATAGCTAGGAAAAAACTGGAGTGCCACATTCCAGCAGAGTCCAGCAACCTGTTTGCTTGTTTATTTGTGGAATGTATTTATTTATTTGCCTGAAGCTGAAAGATACATTTTCTTTATGCAGAAGAAATAAACAGTGAATAAGTTGAAAAGAGAGAAGGGATTTATTATAGAGAAGTCAATTACTCAATTCTTGAATCCAAAGCTTGCAAACTTTTTCAGAGGTGGCACTTAGAGTTAATAACCCAGCAGCCAATGAATTTGGCAGCATTCTGGGGAAAATCCTTATGAAAAGATGAACAGTTTTTTCAGTCTATGAAATGTAATCATGTTTTTCTTCAACCATCTTTAGAGTGATGTATTTTGTCCTTTTTGTACAAAGTTAATCACAGTATCTATTTTTGCTCTTCACATTCGTTTCCTCTCCCATCTGTTCTTGTTTCTCATGGCTGGAAACAAGGAAAGGGCCAGAAACATGAGCCCAGTCATCTCTCCATGGATTACCAACTATTGTTTTGCCAACCAGCAGTGGTCCCTGGACCACTGTTTGGGAAGTTTGGGGTTATTAATTGTGTGCACAGGAAGAATGGTAGAGCTAAAACTTCTGTCCTTTTCTGATATGCAGAGCTCACTCTTCAGATCCGGTTCTAGGAGGGATTTAGGTTTCTAGATTTGCACTGCTGAAAGAAACAGTCAATGGTCAAGCAATAATTAGTCCCTTTTCTAGCCTAGATTTAAACATGCTAGTTCAATATTCCTCTTTCCAGTTCCTAAACGCATAAGTGCCTTTTTTTCCTTTGACATAAAAGTATACAATATTTTGCTAATTTGGATAAATGTTACCTGAACTACATTTATTTTGGGGATAGAACCAGGGCCAACGAGAAGTGGGGGAAGCCGGTACAAATTACCAAGGCCCGGCGGTCCGGAAGGGGGCCCAGCTTCCCTGGCTTCCACCCCACCCCCCCTTGTCGGCACCCCCCTTTCTGCGGGGCCGGAAAAAATTCCGGGCCCGGCTTTCCCCCCCTCTCTCGTCGGCCCTGTTTAGCCAGTCCGCCCTTGCTGGGGGGCCCGAAAAAATTCCGGGCCCGGCTTCCTCCCCCCCTTCGGCTCTGTTTAGCTGGTCCGCCCTTGCTGGGGGGCCCGAAAAAATGTTTTCACCGGGGCCCGAACCTGCTCTCGGCGGCCCTGGATAGAATAGCGGGCTCACCATAGGTACTCTAAAAGAGTGTTACATGATGGATTACCTCGTGTTGTTTTCCAAAAAGTTGCACATTACTAAAAGGCCCAGGTCATGTTTATTCATTGTTGGACTCATCAAGAGGGTAAGTTCCAAAAGAAAGGCTAAGGCAATAGGACTGTGCATATGAGAAAGGAGTGTGCATATGAACAAGGTTTGTGAGATCAGGTCTGAAAGGAAGGCAACATAATCTAGTGGTTAGAGCAAGGAATGTGGGAGCTCTTCTGTAGACTTGGTGTGTGACCATGGGCAAGTCAATTAACTTCTGTGTCTCAGCTCTGCGTCCGGAAATTAGGGCTATTAATACTTATTGTGATGCTTTCATGGCCCTCTGACTTGTGAGGCACTACTGTACCACCAGCCCTTAGCACAAGGAAGCCCACAGGCAACACAAGCACTCTTCCCTAGGCCTTGCAGGCCCTACTGTCACTCAGGTACAAATTGAGAGATTGTGAAATCTACAAGAGAGGAAAGCAACAGGAAGAAACAAACAGCAGGGGGTGCCCTATTTATGAATAAAGTTGAAGAATTGGTCTGGTATATCTTGGAGTGCAAAGAAACACATGGAATCCTTCACCTAGGAGGCAAACTGACAGCTTGCATGTGTCTGAAAAAAGGGTCACAGCCTGCTTAGCAGTGCATTGCAAGAATTTGGGGTGAGCAATACTTTATTACACATGAGTATCTTGTTAATTTAGTTTAGGCTCTAGAATGCGTTATAATTTTATTTTATATGTAATCTTTTGTTTCCAATACTTCTACTTGAATCTCTATTCTTTGTTAAATAAATGTATGCTTGATTTCACTATAAATAAAACTAAGTGCTTTGAATTAAGCTGAGTGGTGATCTAAAGTGAAACTGGTAAACTGTTTCTTTGGAAGTAGTGGATTGGTGAATACTGTGAGTGTCCAGGAGGCCCAGGAGTTGGACACTCCAGGGAGATGCTCAGTGGGCTTCAGGGTTGGAGTGTCCCTATCACTAACCTGCAAAGTAACAGCGGGGCCTGCAAGACCTGGAGTCGAGTGCTGGTGTTGCTCGTGGCTGGTGGAGTTGGAGAACTGACCCCTATCAGGCATAGATGAGGCTTCCTCACGCTAAGGGCAGGTGGCAGCAAGTTGCCTTACAATCCTGAGTACCCCCAGGAAGCGTCACAGCATACAATACACAAATGACAAGACAGGGAAATAAGTGTCAGTTACCTTCTGCCTGAAAGGAACATCTGCAAGGTATGTCACCCCCTGGTGACTTACCTTAACTCCAAGACCTCAAGAACATGATTTTCAGTATAGATACATAGCTCCTTAATATTATCTACACATACATTTTGCAACAATTATAATGTCCAGGGGGCAACTGGCTCACGGTAGAGACCTCACATGCCACCCTTTGGTGAACTGTTATGCAGTATCTGACCCAGTGGATCCCTGTAAAGCCTTCTGCACCCCACGCTGTCTGCCAATTGGCACCAAGAGTTCTTTGGGTCATACTTATCCACCTTTATACAGCAGTTTGAAACATTCAAATTAAAAATGCTATATAAATGCTAAGCATTATATTATGAAAACAGTAGAGATACAACATTGTTGCACGTTGACTTCATGACCCAAAATACATATCCTTGTGGGGACTCTCAAGCCCCTATACAGAGGACATGCACATCCAGCATCAAAGGTTATGTGCAATATTAGACGATCCTGTGTAGTCTCATTTACATGTTTCAGCCAAACCTTACAAAATTCACAATGTGGCCCTGCTGACAGAATTTTCTCAAAGGAATTACTGTTACACTTTTGCAATGTGAGAAAATAATTGTATTTTTTTTCCTTTTTTCTTCCAGAAATCTTTGTCAGTGTTGAATATCAGCAATAACAATATAGATGAACTGGGAGAATTAGCACTTCTGGAAAATATTTCTCATCTTATAGCAGTTGACAACCAACTTCACCATGTGAAGGTATTAAAAAGAATGTTTTTTAATATTTAGTGTGAGTGAAATCAAAATAATCAGACTGATCATTATTATTAAGGTATTTTAATAGCCAGTTCAACATTTGTTTCATTCTAATAATTTATTGTGAGTTACGGAGCCTGATCCAAATCAGATTGAAGTAAATGGGAATCTTTCCTCAGACCTCAGTGGACTTTGAATCAGGCCCACAGTGCAAAGGCCCCATGGCATCAGAATGTTGGATTTGGCTTGTTTTTAATTAACTTGCAAGTAAATTTTACCACATTAAAATTTTTAGTTCTCTTTCTTGGGATAACTGCCATAAATCCCCACACGTTAGTCAGCATTTTTATTGTAAATGAGTTAAGGCAGTTCTTAGATATTTGATCGGCTGGCCAGTGTCTCAGCCCTTCTTCTCATCTTCAAATTACACCAGATATTTTATTTCTGCCAGAATATCATAAGAAGCAGTGGTCATGAAAGTGGCTACTGAATTTCTTTCCTTTGGGAGACATGAAAACTGTAGAACCCATTCCCTTTTTGGAGAAGGACCTTAGTGTCTTCTAAGCAAGAGCCCTTATCTTGCATAGTAGCAGTTATAAAGAAATCTACATAATGAGACAGAAAGTGAGGTCTTGAGTGCATTTACAATCTTTTTTTGTGGCAGTGAATGTAGTTTAAATAAAATGCATTAAACAAGGTTTCTGGATCTATATTTTCAATAATACAGTTTATCTTCTTAGAAGGGATTTGCCTTTTCAACTGTCATATACTTCTGTGAGATGTGATATATCCTCCCCCCAACATTAATAATAATAAAAAAAAATTTAAACAGTATCTTTTCTCATATAGATATCACTAATGAATAACATTAGCACATGAGACTGAAGTTGAAAGATGTGATGAACGTTTTGTGATGTCCAGACCCATACAGGCTGGGGGCATCACAGGAGGGTACATTTTAAATAAATGACTATAGAAGGAGATTGCATGAATAGGTTTAATATATTTTACTTAGGCCATAGACATTTACAGCAAAGGCTAGTTTTCTTCTGAAATTGAGGGTTAGGTTTTTGAAACTGAACTAAATACTAAAGGCAACAATTCCAATTCTCTTAAAGGAGTATATTCCTATCTAAATAAATAATCCACTGTTAGCCTTCTTTCTGATTCAGTAACTGAGAAAAGAGAAAAAGAGGAACAGCAAGCCAAATCTATGTTATTCAATCCTGTACATGTAATGTTACAATCCTGTGTAATAATATTATTCATACAAAACAACTAAAACTTACCTGGGAAGGAGAAGAAAATAAAAATAAGTGGGGGGAAGTGGTACATTTAATTAGTCAATCAGAAATTGAAGTTTGGAATATATCTTTACTTGTTTTCTGCAGCAGTGAATTTCATGGCTGATGTGGCTCATGTTTTTCTGGAAACTATAGTTAAAAGGATGGCACCTGATGTAATAATAAAATGAATAATAGAGGGTTGCACATTGAGCTCTTTCCCCATGCCAGTGACTCCTTGAATCCCTCCATTCCCGCAAGCTCCATATGTGCCACCCTCCCATTCCCCTCTTTTTCAGGGACTCCTGCAACCTCCAACTTCATCTCTCATGCCAGAGGTTTCTCTCATTTACCCACACCATTATTATTTCTTTTCTTTCTGCCTGGGAGAACAATTTAAAATTTATTGGGAAGAAGGGCAGAGATGAGATGAGGGGTGGTATTGGCTGCCATCAAGCAGATAATTACAGACCTGGTGAAGCTGATTGGTCTACTAACTAGATGCCATGCGCTCTATGTCCAACCCCTTTCCCCCCACCTTCTCTTCCCACCCCCATTTTCCCATGTCCAGTTTCCGATTTTCACCAGACTCAATAATGATGCCTAAACTGTTTATTGAAATTTTGGAATTGATTGGATGCAGCATTCAAAAATTATTGCATTCCAGACAAAGCCATGAATTTGAGTGTAGAGCCTCACTTTGCCTGGCCAGTTATGGTTGAGACACTGACCACCAGATTGTGATATTCAAAAATTGAATCACAAATTTTCCTTTCCAAGGCAAATTGCTGTTTTCAAAATGATTGTAATCAATTCTAAAACAACTGTCAGATGTAAAGTCAGCTTTCTTATCCAAAGAGGAACAGAGTGTATATGTAACATCAGGGTTCTCACTATGTCACTAGAGATTTGCAGCAGATTAAAGTCCATAGATTTCCTGCTTATAAAATCATCAAGGAACTCTCCAGTTTTACAGAACTGCTCCGTTCATGGTCAGCATCAAAATGAAAGTTCTTCCAAATATATTTGTAGGAAGATAGCAAATCAGACACCTAAACATGTACAGTAGCTATTTTAAGTTCAGATCCTTGATGGTTTACCTCTTTTAAAAACATACCATCATCATTATGGACAAATTACTTCTAAAAGGCTGCAGTTTAAAATATATATACAGGTTTAAAGATGTCAAGCTTGACAATTTTTTCTATACTATAACAGGAAATGGCCTCTCAGCCACATCAGAGCCTTTATATGGGAAGACACATAGTTTGGGACAGTTCTTTTACATTTATGTTATCACCCTTATTTTTCTCTCTATGACTTCACGGGAAAATATTTTTGTGTAACCTGTCTGGATGTGTTAAATTAGTTAGAGAGATATAGACTTTGGAGCTATGACTCTCTGGATTAGAAAAGGTTGACGATAGGAAACAGTAGAAATATCATGTTAGTGATCCAGAACTGGAGTGAAAACAATCAGCTGCTAGGTTCAAATACTGCCTTTGAAATGACTTCTTATGTGGCGTTGAGCAAGTCACTTAACTTCTCTGCCTCAGTTACCTCTGTATAATGAGGCTAATAATTATTACTATATATTAGCAGTATTCCTGCTAAATCAACATGTCATTATTTAGCTTTTGTTAAGGAAAGTCTCAGTAGTGACACTTCTCTTTTCACTGGTGTCTTTTCACTGTTTCTTCAACATAAAAAAAATGAAAAGGAAAGTAGATTTTAAGTCTTTACTGTATATTTATAATTTAAATCAAGTAACAACAAGGTGCAAAGATTTGGATGGCATATTAAAGTTGTACTTTCCCGCTGTGCGGGAGAGGGGAACAGCAAGAAGACCAGAAAAGGAAATTAGGTATTGTTAGATGTTGTGGACAAAAGTTGGAAACAATAGTGCAGGCAGAGGAGAGAGGGCAGAAGGCCTCAGAGTCTGTGCAGTGGTGAGAAATGACAGGCAGAGAAGAGGAGCGGGGGCTAGAAAGCCATCAAGGATTTTGCAGAGTTTAATAGCAACAGTGAGAACATTAAGTAGTCTGTGCAGGAGAGGTAAATGACAGTGGGAATGGAATAGTAGTCTGTGCAGGAGAAGAAAGTGTGAAAGGCATAACAGAACTAGGTGACATGAAGCATCTCCTCTACACCCTTTTCACTGTTGTATGAGGTTTGTCCAGTATAACTATATCAATTATCTTTTTCTCTGAACATAACATTTTAGTTCAGTTTTGTTATGGCAGCATAATAAACCCACTCCCTGCACCTGTGCTGTGCTTGAGCTCAGCATAATTGAGGATTAAGACTAATAAATTCGTATACTTGAAGTTTTGGACAATTAAGGGAATTTTCAGTTTCATTAATAGACATGAGGGAACATGACCCTGTTTCAGATAAGTGAGGTTTGGATAATCAAATGGGATCTGAACTGCACTGACGGTGATTTTAACAAGACTTTAGATAATTTTCTTTAATTCTTACCAACCAATCAACTTTATTGTTGTAAGACCATAAATTGCTGTACATTGATGCCAGGAAGCTGAAAATAAAAACAACAGACAAGCTAAAATCTAACGAACAACTTTGATTTAAAAATCACATTTCTGCCTGAACATTTTCTACATACTGTTATAAAAGTAATACCTAATATTCAAATAACTGAAAATAATTAAAGAAAAATATATTCTCTATATTTGTTTATTTGGATTATTTGACCGTCTTTCCCTTTCCTAAGTGTAGTTAGCTAATTAGTCAGTTTTCATTTTTGTTTTTGTGAGTGTTCTGACACAGCAACAGGGAAAAGAAAATCATTTTTAAGAAAAAGAAAATGTTGTTATAAAACCACAAAAACTAGCAGGAGGGAGCCAGGTTCATGTACAGTACATGAAACTACTTACAGCTGGTTTTTTTAAATTGGCTCACTTATAAGTTGATGTATGCTTAGCATGCCTTTTACTAACATTAGCAGCACTGTCAAGAGATAACTTAGATAACCACAGTTTTAAAAAAGTTATTTTTATCAGTAACACCTGGGATTCTTCCAAATTAAATATTTTTTTTAAAAAAAATCTCTTTTCTACTTTTTCCTATTTCTCCTTGTTTGCTTTTTCATTTCTCTATGTCTGGACAATGAAAGTAAACTAGCAATTTCACTTTTGTTTCTAGTCAGATTCACGCACACTACCAGGATGCTGTTTTGTTATGTTTGGGTGCAAATACTGAAAGGGATGTTTATTTGCTTTTAAAAAAAAACTGTTTCAATTAGAACTTTACTAAGTGCTGGAAATATTCTGTTGTTTTTATAAAAACTTAAATCAACAAACCTTTTATTTTGAGAAGAATATGACCTAATGTCTATGTAAATGTTATGTTTGATATAGAAAATACTGAAAGGACCTATATAAAACCATCTGTATGTTCAAAGTCTTTAATTTATTCAACCTCTGGCCAGTATTGATTATGACAAGAAGATATCAAAAAAGATGAATTCATTCACTTCACAATTCAGTCAGGAACAAGAGAAAAATTATAGATTTTTTCTCAAATAGATTATGACAGGTAGTCAGAATGGTGACAAATTGCTGTCTGTAGATGTAGTTAGGGCAGCTGAGCTAGACATTTCCAATAAAAATTGGAGCACACTGGTCAAATACTAGTTCTTAAATGGCCATCATTAATTGTGAAGAAGGTTATTGCCAGTACTACAGCAGCCTACTGAGGCACTCACACCTCCTATATGTGGAATATAATTTGCTCTTCAATATTTTGTAGCAGACCTCAAAGTGATAGCATGACATGATCATTTATCAAACAGAGACAGCCCAGAAAAGTGTCTGGTCCCTTTAGTACAGTTTATTGAAAGCTGGAAAGTGAAAGCACTTTATTAGAGACAGGAAGGCAATGAACAACTAGAGCATATCGAAAGGCTAATCATATTTCAGCACAGGATTAGTGTGTTCTTAGATAAACATACACTAGACTGAGTATGTTCTGGGTCATTTATCAAGTGAGTAACTGCTCATGAAAATCTACAGCACTCTGTACATTCATCAAAGTTTAGCTGTTTACATGTTATGGTTTTAAGTAATATACAGTTTTGTGTTCTAAAAACCTATATTAATTGTATTAATTCTTTTAAAGGGAAATCTAATACTTATTAAACATTTTTCAAGACAATGGCTGATTGCCCAGATAAGAACAAAATAATAAATTATGCTGGCTAAATATTTTCTTTTTAAATAAGCCCAGGCAAAAATGTCTTTTTCCTAAAGTTATTTAACACTTTTTTGAGGGAGAGGGGGGTATACACTGAATCTACTAAACAGTTATGTTATCACAGTATTATGCAGACAGATACTGATAGAGTCTTCCTTTGTAATTAATGTTATGGAACTAACAACGTTTCCCTAGGTGGACTGTTCCCACTTGGGAAGTTCCACAAGAAGAAAGTTTTGTGTCTCCATATTGCAGCTGTCCCTCTCGGACTTCCTTCAGCACTCACTCTATCAGCATGGCTTCTCCAGGAACTGTTCTCCCCTGGGCTTCCCACAGGCTACTACTCCAGATCTACCCTTAAACAGTTCCAAACTATGGAGTGGAGAAGTGGGTGTAAGCATTAACTTACCTGCAAAAGTCCCATGGGTTTTTGTTGGGAAGGAGGAGGTTCATGCTGCCTTTTCCTTTGTCCCCTTATTCTCTACCCATGAATCCTAAACCACATGGTACACCTACAGAGTGGCTTTCATCAGATTGGGAGGAGAGTGGAATGATGCAGTAGAGTATCATCTTCTGCATCCCCCCTGGATTTAAGTCCCTTCTACTCTCAGAGACAGAATAGATGATAGGGCACATTGTTACTAATTTTGCAGTCTGAATTTGAAGGAGGACCTATGAACTTGGATTAGCAGATATTTGACTTTTGCTATCAAGCCATGAAAATTGTTCACATTTTCTGGTTTATGAAATGCTGATCCTCATTGAGCAGATGTTTCTACAACTATGGTACCTCAGTTCTAGTATTATCCACCCCTTCTCTCGCTCTCATACATAGCCTTTAGAATCTCCTCTCAAATGCTCTATACAGCCACATACTATATGGATTCATATTCAGAGTAACATTGGAAGGAAATTTTGGACCATGTGTATTTCAGAAGGTAGGCTCTTTGAATAGAATGCAGCAACTTACTAAGCACTTATGAATAGCCTTCAAATCTTGTTAACTTTAATATATTGAAGTTAAAAGACAGAAAAAGTTTGATCTAGGTCATATTGCCCTTGATTTACCAGACAGAAACCCAGACTGCAGAAAGGTACATTTTAAATGTTTCACTATTTGGGCCAAGAATGTAACTGGCCACCCACAGATATGTAGGGGAGTTACTATGTCTTGTGTAAATTATATTTTTCCAGCATGATTTGCCAGATTTTAGTTTTATTTTTTTAATCAATTTTTGCATGAAATGTCCACTGTCCTATGAATTTCTGAAGCCTGTACAGGTAGAATTATATTTTTAAGGGCCTTTTATGATGCAAAAGGCTGTATATCTTCTCCTCCTATGTGTGATATAAAAACATATGCATATGTTACTCACATTACTGTCTTCTTGACTGGCTTTTCTCCAGTGTCTGGCATTTAAAAGTATGATGGCAAAGACAATTGTCTGCAAGTAGCATTATTATATCCTAAAAAACAGAGGATCTTTCTTGTGTTCAGCTACCAAGTGCTAACATTTTTGTTGCCTGGCATCAGGACCCTATTCTGTGGTCTTCCCAACTAACCCAATAGAAGTTTCCATGCTGTCCCACAAGAGAAGCATGATGAAGATAGACCAGATTTTATGCATGTCTATAAAATACTGGTTTTCAGGCTAGCATTCTCAGCTAGAGCCGTTGTCGGACCTGAGCTTTCCTGTCATTACTGATCACTGGTGCTCTGAGTTAGAAAATCTTTAACACCTCCAAAAATGCTTCTTCAGCAATCAATTTTTCCTGCATGAAAATATGGTAAGCACTACGTTGGAGGTCAATAGACTTATTCCGATAAAGTCTCTGCTCTATTTGGCTTTCCAGAGGCACTGCAAAATCAACCAAAAGAAACTTCTGCCACCAGCCAGAGCTTTTGCAAAAATAGGCTCAGAGTGTATGGAAATCTGATTAGACAACATCAGAGCCTGGACTGAGCGTTTACTATTTAAAATGATAGACAACATCTTACAGTTCTAGGATAATGAATGTTGTTGTTAGCATCAAGTCCAGTACAAGCAAAGCAAAACCATGGGACTGGTAACCTAATACCTTTATGGAAAGATTTGACCTACAGCTTGTTGCATTCCCCACTCTCTTCTTGACCCGGAGTCCCCTTCTGTTACAATATGTCTGAACCAGTCCTACTTAGTACTGTTGCTTTCTGGCTTCTTTCCATAACCATATTCCTCCCATTTGGAAGTGCCTCAGCTAGTTGAGGATTTTTATCATAGGAACTAGTGCTAGACAATTGTCTTGGGATGTGTAAACCTGACTCTAGAGGGGAGTGTCAGAAATAAAGAATCAAAACCAATGGATGATGATTGGCATGTCAGCTTGCCATCACTCACTTTGTATTTGATCGTAAATGTTTCTGTCACTGCCTTCCTATTTCTATTATGTAAAATACTGTGCTGCATTCAAAAAGTGTCATACAAAGCCCCAGTCCTACAAACACACATACTTAATTTTACACCCAGAAGTCCAAAAGAAGACTTTTCAATGAACAACCAGCATGATTACTGAACTCTATCGTCTACAGTCTCAAGATAAAGCAACAGTCTTGGTTTTTCTCTTTTCTTCTGTTAATTGCAGGATTTGGAGTTTGTATTGAACAAATGGACCAAGCTGTGCAGAATGGATCTTAAAGGGAATCCTGTTTGCCGCAAACCAAAATACAGGGACAGGCTTATTATACAGTCAAAAACTCTAGGTAAAAGAGTATGGTTAGAACTCTTTCCACTTAAAAAAAATAGTTGGCACATTATCTATTTTTGAATTACAGTGAAACTCCTATGAAACCAAGTAATGTCCTCCACATTAATGTCAGGTGGTAAATATAATTTTTAAAAGCTATTGTACAAGTTATATAGTTTAAATTGATTAATAAGCTAAAAAAAAACCTGTTGCTTATTATGACTCAACTTATTATTATTAACAAAAGTACAGTTTACTAAAAAGGAGTGATACTATGGCATATCCATACAATTATAATTCAGGCTTTTCTGTGTTTGTGGTCCCAAATTAGGCGATAATGATTTTTAAAGATATCTTTCATTTTTTTCCCCTTGTAGCATTACTGCAGGGTAGAGTTAAGGTAGTTTGGGTGTCTTAACTATGCATTTTACGTTGATGCCTCTTACATTGATGGAAGAGGTTTTTCTGTCGATGTAGTTAATTCACCTCTCCAAGAATGATAGTTAGGTCAACGGAAGAATTATTCCATCAACGTAGGCATGTCTACATCAAGAGTTAAGTTGACCTAACTACGGCACCCAAGGCACAATATTTTTCACAGCCCTGAGCAATGTAGCTAAGTTGATCTATTTTTTAAGTGTAGACCAGGCCTAAGTTGTAGTCAAACAAGAAACTTAATTTGGAAATGTGGATGGAGTCAAATCATGCTAGAACTGTGGGTCCTACTGCACTACAGAGTGAGTGAAGTTATGATAAAGGATCAAATCGTGCTTTCTTACATCATACAGGTGGCCCCAAGAGGTCAGTGGGACTATTTGATGAGTAAGGCAGGCAGGTTTTGGTTGCAAGTGTGTACTTCCTTATGCCCTTATAAATGTATATGTCCTGCATAAATGTATGCTCTCTTTTTAGACCCCTGCACTCTCACTATCACGTCTTAATTTGGATATCAAACATTCTCCTTGCAAACCCTACAAATAATTGATAGTCTCTTTCCAATGCATTTGAAAACTGCCATGTTACACATGAAATTCATTTCTTTATGAATAATTTTCAAGATATAATCTATCACTTGATTTCTTTTCTGACAAAGTTAACTAAAATGTAAGCAATTTTTGGCAAAAGAAAACATATCAGTGTACATAAGATATTTAATAGTTTAACCTTTTAGTTGACTAACTTTATTATGAAAAGTGTGTGTGTGTGTTTTCCTTTTTCCTCAGAATCCCTTGATGGGAAAGAAATAAAAGAAATAGAAAGACAATTCCTAATGAATTGGAAAGCATCCAAAGCCTCTAGGAAAAAAAGCAAGGAAGAGAGCATGACAAATGAACATGCAGCTTATCCACATTTCTGTAAGCAAACTAATCAAATACTCCATTACAATATGATCATTTACAACATTATAACAACCCTAACATTTTATTTCACAGCAAAGATGTTGGAAACAAACTTCAGGCTGAAGATTGGGCTAAGATAGAAGTTTCAGATCTAATTAATAAATTCAGATTCCAAGGCCAGAAGGGACCATTGTGATCCTCCCATTTGACATCCTGTATAACGCAGGCCATAGAACTTCCCCAAAATAATTAATACAGCATATTTTTTTAAAAGCATCCAATCATGATTTAAACAGTATCAATGATCTTTCATGACCCTTGACAAGTTGTTCTAATAGTTAATTACTCTCACTGTTTAAAGTCTATGCCTTATTTCCAGTCCGAGTTTATCTAGCTTCAACATCCAGCCATTGGATTGTGTTATATCTTTCTGTGCTAGACTGAAGAGCACAATACTAAATATTTATTCCCCATGTAGGTACTTATGGACTGCAATCAAGTCACACCTTAACATTCTCTTTGTTAAAGTAACTAGATTGAGCTCCTTGAATTTGTTGCTGTGAGGCATGTTTTTTAATCCTTTAATCATTCTTGTGGCTTTTCTCTGAACCCTCTCCAATTTATCAACTTCCTTTTGAACTGTGGACACGAGAACTGGACACAGTATTCCAGCAGTGGTTACACCAGTTCTAAGTATAGAGATCAAATTTCTTCTCTCTTCCTACTTGAGATTCCCCTGTTTATGTCTGTAAGAATTGCATTAGACCTTTTTGCCACAGCATCATACTCGAAGCTCATATTCAATTGATTGTCTGCCATGGCTCCAGAATCTTTTTCAGAGTCTTTGCTTCCCACAATGAACCCCCTCATTCTGTGAGTATGGCCTACATTCTTTGTTCCTAGATTTATGCATGTATATTTAACTATATTAAAACACATATTGTTTGCTCGGGCGGAGTTTACCAAGCAATCCAGATGGTTCTGTATCAGTGACCTGTCCTTTTAATTATTTACCACTTTCCCAGTTTTTGTGTCATCTTCAAACTTCAGCAGTGATTATTTTATATTTTCTTCCAGGTCATTAATAAAAATGTTAAATAGCATAGGACGAAGAACTGATCCCTATGGGACCCCAACAGAAACACATCCATTTGGTGATGATTTCCTGCTTACAATTACATTTTGAGACCCATCACTTAACCAGCTTTTAATCCATGTAATGAGTACCATGTTAATTTTATATTGTTCTAGTTTTTTAATAAAAAGGACATGCGGTATCAACCAAATTTGTAATCTCTCATCAAAAAAAGATATCAAGTTAGTTTGACAGGAACTGTTTTCCATAAACCCATTAATTATATTACTCTCCTTTAATTCTTTATTGATCGAGTCCTGTATCAAGAAGAAAATCAAGGAAAGTGTGGGCCCCTTACTGAATGAGGGAGGCAACCTAGTGACCGAGGATGTGGAAAAAGCTAATGTACTCAATGATTTTTTTGCCTCTATCTTCACGCACAAGGTCAGCTCCCAGATTGCTGTACTGGGCAGTACAGCATGGGGAGAAGGTGACCAGCCCTCTGTGGAGAAAGAAGTGGTTCGGGACTATTTAGAAAAACTGGACGTGCACAAGTCCATGGGGCCGGATGCGCTGCATCCGAGGGTGCTAAAGGAGTTGGCGGGTGAGATTGCAGAGCCATTAGCCATTATTTTTGAAAACTCATGGCGATCGGGGAGGTCCCAGATGACTGGAAATAGGCTAATGTAGTGCCCATCTTTAAAAAAGGGAAGAAGGAGGATCCGGGGAACTACAGGCCAGTCAGCCTCACCTCAGTCCCTGGAAAAATCATGGAGCAGGTCCTCAAGGAATCAATTATGAAACATTTAGAGGAAAGGAAAGTGATCAGGAACAGTCAGCATGGATTCACGAAGGGGAAGTCGTGCCTGACTAACCTAATTAGCCTTCTATGATGAGATAACTGGCTCTGTGGATGAGGGAAAAGCAGTGGATGTGTTATTTCTTGACTTTAGCAAAGCTTTTGATACTGTCTCCCACAGTATTCTTGCCAGCAAGTTAAAGAATTAGGGAGTAGAGGAATGTATTCTAAGGTGGAGAGAATGC